AGTAAATTGTAATCTTTCGTTATATGCGTTAAAAGTGTTTAAAATGTATTGTAGTTTGTCAAGAGGAGCTGTCATAATAATGTCATCGACATATCGGTTTTTTTATTTAAAATCTAAAGATTCCATAAGATCACATGTTATTTCTCTATTAAACAATTCTTTGATTTCCACTCCGAAAATTAGTGATCTTGACAAGCAGCTCTTTTACAAGTATCGACTCACTTTGCAGTATAAGAGAGATCATCCTGAAATTTTGTTCACATGGGCGGACAAGGGTAACGTGACTGTTGCAGTTGATAAATTGACTTATTTAGAGAAAATTAATTCAATGCTTAATGATGTGACTACTTACACTTTAATAAAGAGAAATCCTATTAAAACTATTGAGAATAGACTAAACACTTTATTAAAAAATTGGGTTAAAAATGATTATATTAATGACTTATCTTACTAGAAGATTAGATCTAGTGATGGATGTATGCCTAGAGCTTATGGCTTACCTAAAATCCATAAGCCGGGTTTTCCTTACAGATTGATTGTCTCTTCAATTGGTAGCCCACTACATTCTTTTGCTGAATTTTTACATAAGATTATACATCAAAATATACCTACTATGTCTAGTAATGTCTACAATAGTTTTGAATTTGTTAAAAAGGTTAGAAGTCTTAAATTGCAACATGATCACGTTCTTCTGTCTTTGGATGTTATTTCCTTGTTTACAAATGTTCCGATCGATTTAGCAAACTTATGGAGTGCCGATGGGATCTCCTCTATCTCCCATCATTGCAGATATTGTTATGCAAGATTTAGAGACTTCAATTTTGAAAAGACTAACTTCCAAACCTTCGTTCTATTTTAGATATGTCGATGACATTATTATGACAGCTCCTCTTGACAAACTACAATACATTTTAAACACTTTTAACGCATATAACGAAAGATTACAATTTACTATGGAAACACAAAATAACGACTCTTTAAGTTTTCTTGACACTAAATTAATTGTTGACAACAATCGAAAGATTTTAGTTGATTGGTTCCATAAAGAAACCTTTTCTAAAAGATATCTAAACTTTTTTTCGGCACATCCTCTTTCCCAAAAAATAGGTACGATTATAGGTATGGTAGATAGAGCTTTTTTGCTATCTGATTCTATTTTTCATAAGAAAAACTTAAAATTTATTATTGAGGTTTTGATTATGAATAACTATCCGTTTGACTTTATTTTTAAAATTATTAACAACCGTATAAAATTTTTGACTAATAGTAGTCTGATATCGGAAAATAAATCTCTTTCAACTTCGTGCATTGATAATAACAAAAAGAGATTTTTCGTGTTGCCTTTTGTCAAGGGACTGTTTGACTCTCTCTCTATATTCAGAAACAAAAACAAGCATATAAACAAACATAAAGAAACTGCTACGGACATCTCTTTGGCATATAGAAGTCTTAACAAGCTCAACAAATTTATAACAGCCTTAAAAGATCCTATTGTTCACGATGACAAAAAGAATCTTGTATATCGTATTAATTGTAACGATTGCGATGTTTCCTATGTGGGNCAAACCAAGAGAATATTGAAAACGAGAATTAAAGAACACAGAAATCAAATAAATAGAAATGTGGGGAATTTTTCCGTTGTCACGACACATAGATTAGAGACGGGTCATGACTTTAAATGGTCTGACATAGATG